TTTAAGATTTTGCAAGATGCCCGAGAAAGAGGAGGACTTAAAGCACCTAATTTGAAATTATATTATGATGCAGCCACCTTAACTTGGATAAGTGATTGGCTTAATTTAACAAACAAGGATATTCTTTCTCTTGAAGGGTGGGATTTAATGTATGGTGGGCATGCATATTTAATTTTTAATAAGAAAGTGGACCGGGCTTTCAAATCACACATTTTGAGGAATGCCTTACTTCGAGTTTGGAAAAAGTATTATCATAGGTTAAATTACAAAATATCTATCTGGGGGATTCCTAGACATGCAATCGAGGGAATTTCTAAGGGGATGAATTTTGACAAAATTTCGTATAAAGAATTATTAATTTGGTCAGGTTTGGACTGGCATTTAAAATCCTTAGATGTATTAAGGCAAGAAAATATTCTACAGTCATGGTTTCAATATTTACAAATAGTGGATAGGTGGACTGTAGATAAGAAAGAGGGAATAACATTAGAAGATGAAAAATTGGTTATTCAGATTAAAGATCAGAATCAGGCCCATATAAAAAGAATTTGTAATGCTTTAATAGAATTAGATTCGGAAACAGAATTGGTCAAAGACTGTATGATTAAATGGGCTCAGAATATCCAGGAACCGATCCCATTGGACTTATGGGAAATAATTTGGATCAGAAATGTTAAATTTACACAAGCTCAAAATTTGAGGGAAAATTTTTATAAAATGTTTTACAGATGGCATCTAGATCCTAAAAAAATATCTTGTACGTACTCTAATTTACAACCCAAATGTTGGAGATGTGGTAATATGGATGCGACATATTTTCACGTTTGGTGGAATTGTAAAAAGGTAAAGGCTTTTTGGATTATGATTTGGTGGAACATTCAAAAGATTTTTAAAAGGAAGATAAAGTTTACTCCTCAATTATTCCTATTGGGTATTTTTGTGGACTTAAATGACAAAGAAACTATTTTAATGTTGAATTTATTAACTGCAGCAAGGTTACTAGTAGCCTCATATTGGAAGAAAGATTCGTTGCCTACTTTAGAAGAATTGATATTTAAATTTTCTAATTTTGCAGAAATGGCAAAAATTTCTGCTTATTTGAAGGATCATACACAAGAAAGATATATTATTGTATGGAGAAGATGGATAGATTATATTCAGAAAAAGTATGGGACTACAAAATTTCATTTATTTTATGAGTAAATTTTATAGTAAATGTTGTATGATGATGATGATGTAATTTAAGGGGAGTTAAGGGTTAAGTCTGATTTTTTTCTCTTTTTCTTTTTTCTTTTTTTTCTTTTTTTTATTGTATATTGTTAATTTTGTTATTAATAACCCTGTATCCTGCTCTGGGAAGTGAGGGGGGGGGAGGGTCGAGGGTGGGTGGGTGGGTGAGTGGGTGGGTAAGGATAATATAGATATGGTAGTTTATGAGAGAGGTGCTGCTTGGGCATTTCCCCTATGCTGCGTTCTTGTGTTTGAGGGATGAGAGGGGAGGAAGTCGCAGGAAGGAAGTAGGATGGTAAGAGGAGAAGGGGAGGGGAAGAGAGTAGGAGGGGAGGAGAGAAAGAGGAGGGAAGTAGGGAAAGTACTAGAGAGGGTGGACGCAGCCTGGGGGGAATGGGCAAGTGGCACCAATGGTTATGAATTTATCTTATCTTGTAAATTGTGTTTTGTATGTTGAATAAATGGAAAATAAAAACTTTTTATTAAAAAAAAAAGAAAAGAAAAACTGGGCCTGCTTTTCTATCTCTAAGATCCTTTGGGGAAATATAATATTCCCCAAAATATTTCCTTCTCGGGGGGGGGTGACTTCCCACACAATCATGTGGCAGGGAAATGAATGCCTTCTTGTAATCAGTCCAAGCTATATTCAAATTGATCTTTCTTTTCTTTCAGTTTTCCAAAATCATCTTATCAATCAGGGGCTGCTCTACTGTTTGGACAGTTTCCTTTCTGCTCAGGTGGAAAGAGCTTATTTTCAACTAGGTAGTAATTTGAAAATTCTTGGTAAGCAGGTAATTAGATTGTAATTACCTGGTGCTACCCCTTTTGTTGGATCTTTCTTGCCAAATAGGTTTTGCCAGCTGTTAGCCAATCTTTAGTTTTACCTTCTTGCAGTATGCTGTTAAACTGCTTGACAGTGAATATAGACCATTCAGATGCCAAAATCCATGCAATTCATCTTTACCTGGTATTGAATTTTATTTTTATATTTTTATTATTAATATATCTGTTCTGAGAAATGATTACTAAACATTTAAATAATTAGAGCACATAGGAAAAATGATTTTGCTTTAGCTCAGTTCTATCAGTTGAAACAAATTTTTACTTTTCCTGTGCAAGAAAACAAGATACATTTTCATAAGAAAATTAAATTGCTCTGGATTAGCATTAACTTGAGATTTGATAAATTTGGAGTCTTGGGTAATATATAGATTTGTTTTCAATATTTTGAAAACTATTTCAAACTGAATATTACTTTAAGAGTGTGTTCATAAATCAAAACTTAAGATTGTTAAATAAGTTGTATTTAAAAAATTAAGTAATAAACTTGTATTAAAAGTATAAGTTATGCAAATGATATTAATTTGCTTTTGGTGATTTTCTATTTATTTTATTAAATTTATATGGCTGCCCAACTTATACATGGTGACTCTATCATGTGATATACACACTGTCACATGTTTATGTGGAACTCAAAATTGCATGGTTAATAAAAATAATACAGCACTATGCCAAGTTCCTCCCTACTGCAATGTGATCTGCCAATGCCTCATACAGAAAGTGTTAGTGGATGTGATGGTACAATGAGACTAGAGTTTTAGAGAAAATAATTGAAATGCTGAATGTTACACAAAATATTTTAGATCAGTGGTTCTCAACCTGTGGGTCGTGACCCCATTTGGGGTCGAACGACCATTTCACGGGGGTCGCCAAACAACGCAGTCAGCCATTTTTTTCCCCTTTTCCTTAGCTGTGCTACTCCCTTTTATTCTATTGGCTTTTGAAAGCCAATAGAATAGACTCTCTTGAATAGAGTCTAATTCTATTGGCTTTCAAAAGCCAATAGGAATTGTCCAGGCTGTCTCTGCCCTGCTGAGCCCGCCAAAAGTCCCATTCTGAAAACAGTGCTGCACCAGTTGAGTAGTCCTCGACTTACGACCGGTTGAGTAGTCCTCGACTTACGACCGGTTGGGGGTCGCGGCATTAAAAAGGTTGAGAACCACTGTTTTAGATGTAGGCTTCCCACAGTAGAACTCAACTCTTTGATATAATAATCTTCTCCACCTTATAAGGGCTTACCCATACATGAAGGTATTGTTTTTCTATGATTTCAGTTACAATACTGCATTTTGCATTAACTCTCTAGTCAGTTTTTTACATCAACCAAATTGCAGAATTCAAGATTTTATCAATATTATCTCCCTTTCTTCTTGCTGTTGATGTGTGATCTAAAATCTTAACCAGGATGTTGTCAATTGAGGTAACCCTAGAATGATTTTATCCTAATGTATAAATTAATTATTTATAGAGTGTCTTTGAGAATGTTGACTTCTGACAAATGCCCGGACTAGTCCTGCAGTTTTCTTAGCAAGATTTCAGAAGTGGTTTGCCATTGCCTGCTTCCTAGGATTCAGTGAGAGTGACTGGCCCAAAGTCTCCTGGCTGGCTTCATGCCCAAGAAAGACAAGGTCTCTTTTTTTTAACCTGATGCTGTAACCGCCACACCAATCTGGCTGTTCTATCATTAAGCAACCTCAGCTGAAGAGTGTATACAATATTCAGAAAACTTCCCAGAATTTAGCATGCATAACTTTCTAGCAGGCATATTATATGACATCATTTCCTTGGAATTTTTCCGAGTTAAAGTATTATTTAACTTGTCTCTTCCCTGCACTGTCATTACCAGTGAGAATTTTAAGTTTGGCAGGGCCACACAGGTTCTTTGAAGCAATTACATGATCTTAGTTGTGACCCCGTTGAAACGGGGGACTTGGCTAAGATAAACAAACAAATCTCTTCCCTATTTTCAGCACCAGATGATTTAAGGCAGGGCTTTTCAACCAGTGGTATGGGTACCACCTGTGGTACATTGACACCTGGCAAGTGGTATGCGAGCACCCTAGAAAAGTGGTAGTGGGGGAGGGGAATGAACTGAACTGGTGGCAGCACTCCACAAGCCTGAGTGAAAGATGGCTAAGCTGCAGGGCTGTCAGGGCTCAGTGGAAGCACCAGAGCCAGGCTCCAGCTGGAGCTCGGTGCTGATGCTTCTGCTGAGCCCAGAAGAAGCACCGATCAGCTGGAATGTTGCAGCATCTCCAGGGTCTTGTGATTTACATTCAGATGCTTGGCAACTGATTCATATTTATGACGGTCAGTGTCCCAGGGTCATGTGAAGTGACCAAAACCTGCTGCAACCACCCAGCAGACGGGAGGAGGGAATAAAAACCAAACACCCACCCCACCCCACCCCCACTGCCAATCCTCAACAGAAATGTTCACAATGAAAACCTCGGACAGGAGGAAGAGTGCCGCTGGGCAGTCCAGCAGGTGTCTTGCTTGGCTATGGCTTGGGGGGCACTTTTTTCAGTGCTATTGTAACTTCAAACAGTCACTAAGCAAACTGTTGTAAGTCAAGGACTATCTGTACTTTATCATTTTTTTCTTTTCTTTCTTTCTTTCTTTCTTTCTTTCTTTCTTTCTTTTTTTTTTGTCATTAAGTTTTTAACACTTTACTAGGCGACTGGTGGTACTCAGATATTGCCATATCCTAAAAGTGGTACAATGGGTGAAAAGGTTGAAAAGCCCTGATTTAAGGCTTCCACCGAGCCACTTCGAATAGTGTCAGAATAAAACCCGGGATAGGGTCGGCTTTCTTCCAGCTTACTGAGAAATTTCTTGAACAGAGACAGGGAGGTTCCTGGAAGTCGCAGCGTCAGGGTAGCAGAATCATTTCGGAGTGTTTGGAGAAGAGGGGTGGAGCCACGAAGCTCAATGTTGGTACACACAGGAAAGCCTCTGCACGCTGCCGACGCGAATCCTCGCCCTTCCCATTGCTCGCTCGCTCTGACGTCGCCACATGCTTCTCTCAAAAACGGAGGCATCAGCGCGCGTCCCCCAGAACCGAGCGTGCTGTTCCGCGAACTGCTTTTCCTTGCTGTCGTTCACCTGAACGCTTTTCTCCTGGGCGCGGGGGCCTTTGTCTGATTTCACCAGAAGTGAACCTAACTTATTATTTTCGGTCGGCTTGACATATTACCACTGTTTTTTAAAATATTATATTTAATTTAATTTATTACAAAAAGATTTTTCGGACTGTCAGTATTTAAGGATTTTTTTGCTTCCGTTTAAAAAGAGAAATCGACCGAAGAAAGAAGCTCCGGAACTTGGCGAGTTTTAAGCTTTGTAAATTGAGGTAAAATATTCTGAGATTTGGGGGAGAGGCTTGAAGAAGGTATCTGCAGCTAGCTGAGTGGGTTAACTGCGTTTGCTAGTGATATAACTAACTGTGAACTGGCTTTTTTTTATGTAAGAATGTGCGAGACTTAAGATGTGAGCGGGATAGGGAGGGAATATGGGGGGAGGGGGAATCCGTCAGCCGCTGCTAGCGCTACTGTATCACAGCAGGGCGTCCAGGGTCCCCCCCCCTTCGCCATCTCTTTTCCAAACCCTCCCCACAAAAGACGTCGCTGGTGATGCAGTCTTGTGACTGATTTGCATTGTTGTTCACATTTTCCGAAGTAGGATTCCCGGGAAGAAGCGAGGAGGGGAAATAAATAGCTGGAAACGGTCCGGAAAGTCCAAGAAATGCTTCGGGCGGCAATCAGTTAATGTTAGAAAGGGACCGTGACAATCGGTTACTTAGATTGCACCATGTAAAGTTCCGGGCAAAAAGAGGACGGATGGGTGGAGTTCGTTCGCTTCCAAATCTGATTACGCGATCATGTCGCGAATGTGGGTGTATGTGTATTTTTAAGCTTCTCTGATCTTAACAAGTTAATCTACCTTCGGCGGATGTATTGTGTTTCTCAGTCTCTGGATGGATGAAAGCGAAGAAGACTAGCGAAGGCTCTTTGCTTATCTGCTTGGCTGGGCAAAGAAGCCTTCTTTTGCCTTGGCGCCCTGGCTTCCTACCGTAGGTCTTTTGTTCCCCCCCCCCCAACTACCCCCTCTTTTCAGACAATATGTGCTCCCAGTGTTCTAGCTGGAGATATCTTTGTTCTCCTCCCAGTACTTTTCCTTCCCTCGCCCCTCTTCGCTTATCCCGCCCTTCTCTGCTGGTACTTTTCCACCCGCCTGGCTGAATCAGCCGCGCTGAGCAGCAGCTTCCAGGCAGGGTCTCACGTGACCTGCTTCGGGAGACTACTGCAGTATTGACGTTTTCCCTTTACCTTCGCAGACGAGGTAGGACCCGCGGCCGCCAAGGACAAAAGATCACGAGGACCCCACGCGGCCCCTCCCAACCCAAATAAGTCTTTGGCCTGATTGACTCGTTCCCTAAGAAAACATCCTGGATCCCAGTATGACCAAAGCTGAAATGGGCAAGCCGAATAGCACCCGAGAGGAGGACAGCAGCAGCTATAGCTCTAACAGCAACGACTTCAGCTATCACTACCCCACCAAATCAGCTGCGATGAAGAGGTCAGGGAGATTTCTCTGCCTTACTTTGAACCACAGTACAACAGCCTCATCAAATACCTGCCCCAATTCCCCTGAACTGGGGATGGATGGATGGATGGATGGATTTCTGTTTTTGGAATTCCTCCACTAAAGGAAAATCTTTTAAAATGACCATATCACAAGCCAGGAAAAAGAAGAAAATGTTGCACATTATTCACATTTATTCAGATTTTAACTCAGTTAAAAATAAGTGGACTTTTACAATAGTATTTAAAGTTCCTTTTTCCCTTCCTTTCACAGCCATTACGTGGATATGGATCCAGAAAACCAAAATTTTTTACTTGAATCCAACCAAGGGAAGAAAAAATATGAAACTGAATATGTAAGCACATACCAATAGTGTTTTTAAAAAGAAAAATAATTTTATTACAAAACCTCTTGCAAGTAAGAACAAATTGTGAACTTTCACCATCATTATTATTTACAGCATCCAGGTACAACTTCCTTTGGAATGTCAGTATTTAACCTGAGCAATGCTATTGTGGGCAGTGGCATTCTTGGACTTTCTTATGCCATGGCAAACACAGGAATTGCTCTCTTTGTGTAAGTATTAGAATGCAATAAAATCATATTATGTTATTGTTTTAGGAAAATATTTGTTGGTGCTTGCTTCAAGTCTAAAATGTAATTCTGCTAAAGCATCTGAACACAAGCCATTTTAATCCCATTGACATTGCTAGAGGCAAGAAGCAGTGAACATTTATCTAGAAATACATTGAACTCACAGAAAAATATTTGAGTGGCAAATTTATGTGATTAGACTACAAGTTACTTTGAACAGAAAAAGAAATTCAGCTCAAACTAATAATTTAATACCCAGTAATTTCAGTTGAAGAATACAGCTCATGTTTATGTTTACATTTCTCATATTGGAGCCAGTAGGATTTTAAACATTTAGGTTTGAATGGCTGATATACATTCTGAAATTTTTGAATTTATACACTATAAAATGAAATTGCACTCACTTTTATTGTTTTAGTTACAATTGGTTAAGTTGCCTTTTCTTTTGTTTGAATGCTGTGTTTTTCCTCAAAAATGATTTTTACATTAATCTAAATATTGCTGCATTGTTTTCTCTAATAGTGGAGAAAATGCTTCAATTTATCCATTTTAATTTTTGGATTATAATGTTCTACAACTAAACTGGCTGTTGACTTTGGCCAATCATTCTCGCAGCCCAACAACAGGGGTGTTGTTTTGGGAAAATAGCAGGAGGGAGGAAAATTGGGTATGTTCATCACCTTGAGTTATTTATAAAAATGGGAAATAAATTAACTAGATTTGCCATCCTGCATTTTGCCTATAGCATCATAAAGCATTTGTCAGTTTTTCCTTGACAATTTCTCATAAAAAATATGCTGTAGAGTTTGCTATTTGGTCCAGCTTTAAATAAGAAAAAGGAATGTATCAGATTACAGAGAGAAACAGATCCTGAGTAGAATTTAGCTATATAGTTATTGGTATGAAAAGCAAGGAGATACATATAGACATATTTCCATTAGAAGGCTATTTAAGTCTGAAAAGTTAAAAAAACTGCATATTCAGAAAGGCAAATATATAGTGGCATGCATATGTTGGTTATTAATAGAAAACAAAGAAATATGGAAATAACTTTTATTATTTTAATGTTAACTGCAGGATTAAAAAAGCAGATTATGCCTCTAGGGATTTCTGTGACAGCAAAACAACCTTCTAGCATCATTAGAAATTAATATAAAATCCAAGAGCAGCTGGAATTTCAATTCTGTCTTTCACTAATCCATATTGGCAATGAGGAACAATCAAGCTCTTGAAGGCAGTGATCCTAGAAATATTTACTTGGGAACAGAGTCCACTGAATTTTAAATAACCTGTCTACTATACTGTTATGTGCAAACAGCTTTGGTCCCTCAAATTCATTTTAGTGTATGGCATTTATTTTTATTTTGCAAATTATTTTAAAATAGTTCTTGCTAGAACATGAAAAAATCCTAAGCAAAAAAGTGTCATGCAGTTTTGTTTAAGAAAAAAAAAAAGACAGATACAATAATTGTACTTTGCTGTGCCATTTCATGCTCCAAAAAATGTTTTGCAGTGGTTATAATGTAATCATCATAATGCATGCTAGTGAGATTCTCTGAAGGGCAGGGTTTGACAAAAAGCCCATTTAAGTCAGAGGAAATACACACAGAGAGACAGAGACACAGAAGTTGTCAATACATTTTGTATCAGTATCAGTATATTAGAATAAACAATGAGTTCAGTGAGGCTTGCAGACAGATATAAAAAGGTAACCCAAAGCTATGGGGTTTTTTTCTTAAATTGTTTTCTGTTGGAAATTAATTTCTCTAAAATATATTGTAAAGCAACAACTATTTTTTTTAAAAAAAGTGATGAGGCAAATCTTGCCTTGGGGTAGAAGATTCCACAGTACGAGGAGCTCCATGGCAGAAAAGACTCACTGCTGAGGGCCTGCAAAATGTAACTTCATAGTTAACCGAACCCATAATATGCCTTCTTTGCATGGTAGATGGGAACATAAAATTGGAAAGAGGTGGTTCCCCCAAACAACTCAATGCCATGCCATGAAGGGCTTTAAAGGTCAACACCAGCACCTTGCATTGGACCCAGAAACACACTGGTAAACAATGCACTCACAAAATGGAAGTGTGACATGTGTTCTACCAGAAACAAACCTAACGACTTGCACCATTACATTTGACATCTGCTGAAGTCTTCAGGAGCAGCCCGACATAGAGTGGATTGCAGTAATCTAACAGAGATTACCAAGGCATGGATGACAATGAGTAGATCCCCTGATCTAGAAATGATTTTGCTAGATTTATGTTTTTAAAAGTGGCAGTTGGGCTCTTTTTAATCCTTCTTAGACTGTTCCTTGCCCTCTGAGCACAGTAAATGTTCCTAATATATTCACTGCATTTAAATTTATATTTAATTTCATTATTTACTTTGGGAATAATGTGACCCTATTAAATTTATTCATCTTTCAAAGTCATTGTAGCCAATAAAGAATTTAAGTGTGTTCAGATAGTTCTAATTTAACTCACTGGGAGAAATATGTATATACATTTATATGCCCTTGATATTTTTTATTTATATATTCAATTTCAAAACAAAACATTGCATTTGTATTTCCTTTTTAGAGTTCTCTTAGTCTTCGTGTCAATATTTTCTCTGTATTCCGTTCACCTTCTTTTGAAGACTTCCAACGAAGGAGGTAATGACAGTAACTATTTGTCAATCATAGATTCGACTCTCCCCTTTTTGTTTTCTAAATTGCATTCTTCAAAATCTCTGTTCCTAAAGGATCTTTATTATATGAACAATTGGGAATGAAAGCATTTGGCATGCCTGGAAAACTTGCAGCATCTGGATCAATTACAATGCAAAACATTGGAGGTAAGATCCTTCTCAGACACCCTAAAAGCAGAAACCCTTCTTATTCCCAAAACTATTTTTTTACAAAATATGCTTTCATTAACAAATTCAATAATATCATTAGGAACTGTATTTTATTATTTTTATATCTTATTGTAATTATTTACAATATTATTCACTTGCAGCTATGTCAAGCTACCTCTACATCGTGAAATATGAGTTACCATTGGTCATCAAAGCGTTTTTGAACATTGGAGAGCATTCGGGGTAAGTCCTAGAACTGCTCGGTAGAAATTGTTTTCATGGGAACATATAAAGGGACATTGATATTTGAGGATTTCTGTTGAAACAGGTTAAGTTTAGCTTCTTAAACAAAGGTAAGTAAAGTAGTAAATTCCAGTTATGCTTTCCTGCTTCTAGAGCAGTGGTTCTCAACCTTTCTAATGCCGCGACCCCATAATACAGTTCCCCATGTTGTGGTGACCCCCAACCACTTATACATCACCAGGTGCCAGAGGTGTGGCCAAAGAAAAGGGGGGGAAAATGGCGGACAGCCTTGTTTGGCGACCTCCGTGAAATGGTCGTTCGACCCCAAATGGGGTCCCGACCCACAGGTTGAGAACCACTGTTCTAGAGAGATCTGTTTGAAAGATCTGTCTTTTTTTCTCAGAAAAGAGTTACAAAAATCCATGAAGTTTGTTAATACAGTAATTCCAAGTAAACTGGTAAACAAATTTGTTTTAGAAATGATAAGAGAGAAAGCAGGATACCAAAGGAATGATCCATCTAGCATTGGGTTGCCAACCAACAGTGGTTCATGCTACATTGGGGCAAGTTTGTTTCTCTTCCTTACCTTGACATATCTGAGACTAAGATCTTTTGAATGCATTGTACCAGCCTAAGGACCTAACAGAAAATGAAATTCTGTAAAATGCAACATTAAAAATTAAAATATTTTAATAAATGTATTTCCATACTGATGAATGCTTCTTATTTGTACAATACAACTGTATATATAGTCTAAAATATTACTGTTGGAGTTATTTAAAATATTAAATGTTTAAAATGTTACATTTTATAATTAGATATAGATGCATAGGTTTTGGTACTAAGTTTACTGGGTTTAGAAGATTAATAGTTACAGTAGGTGATTCTTCAAGTTGGTTGAGATTCACATAAGGAGCAAGCAAGAGTATAATAGTTCCTTTGCTATGTCTGTATGTACATAAATGGAGGCGTTATATTGGCGCATAATACTGAATGGAAGGCAAGTTTAAAATAGATGTTTATTATGCTGCTTTGGGGCAGGAATATTTGGATCAACATCCCATCAATAGCACAATCGTCTCATTATAAATCCTTTTGAAGAGAATGGAATCTACCTGAAACACTGACTTCTGTGGAACTTAATTAAATTAATGGACTATAATTACTATGACTCAGCAAAGCAAAATTCCTTGCAAATGAGGTTATGAAAAGTACATTTCCATAGTCTTGGTCTAGCGATTAAGGCACCAGGTTAGAAAGTGGGAGATCAAGTCCTGTCTTAGCCAGGAAAGCAGCTTTATAACTCTGGGCCAAGTCACTCTCTCTCAGCCCAACCCATCTCGCAAGATTGTTGTTGTGGAGAAAATAAGAAGAGGGAGGTGTGTTTGATATGTTTGTCATGTTGTTTGTCATTTACTATTTAAAAATACTAAAGGTGGGATATAAATAAATAAATACAAATAGTTAGATATTGAAATCCATATGAAGAAGGGACTCCAGAATGATATCATTGTCTATTCTGCATTATAATCCCAAGCAATCCTCAAAATATAAAATCTCCACTTGACGTTCAGTTTCTGTTGTTCTGTCAATATGTACCTATAGATTTATTGGCAGCAGTAAGGAAGAGGTTAAAACATTTCCTTCTGACAAGTCTTTTTAACTTCCTGATCTAGGTTAGAGCCCTTGAGCTCCTTAGAAGTTTCCCATTCAAGTACTAAGTAATACATTTTCAAAATCAGTCTAGGTTGGCCAGGTACTTTCACTTGCGGAGACAAAGTAGCCTTTAGTGATTTTTAAATTGTCAGTCAGATTTCAGCATGTACATTCTTCTTTTTCTTCTAGAGAATGGTATTGGTATACTAATGGCGATTATTTGGTTATATTAGTATCCTTGGTGCTCATTCTTCCTTTGTCACTGTTGAAAAATTTAGGTAAGTGGTTGTTAATGTTGACATTAATGTGGAATAAAGAAGAAAAACAATGGTTAACTTACTTGCAGTCAGTAAGATAAATCCCTAATAGTCGAGCCAGTTTTTCTTTTTCTTTATTCCGTGTATGCAGATGTAAATTCAGGATCAAATTCATGAAACCCTCTGGTTGAGCTATGTTAATTTAAAACAATGCATGAATTAAACATGATGACTGCTCTGAAAGGAAAGTGTAGCACTATTTGCATCACATTAAGTATTCCAATTTTATATTGGCTTAACTTCAAATATATTGTCTGAACTTAAATGGGCTACAGTATATTCATAGTGGATATATGCCAATAGTTAACTTGCTAAATTAGACTATTTGCCATTTGGAATCATTTGAACTAATTATATATTGGAAAAGAAAATCTGAACACTTGATTAAAAGTGCACTGGGTAACTTGTAAGTTGATATTAAATTAAATATTTCTGACAATAATTCCTACTAATGTCTATTGAACAAGACGGCATAACAGTTCAAAATGTTGAACATGTTATTTTTCACATGTACTGCATGCTTTAAATTAAAACATTCCTTTATCATTGCAGGTTATCTAGGCTACACCAGTGGATTTTCCTTATTGTGCATGGCCTTCTTCCTTATTGTGGTAGGTATTGTTTATTTATCTATATTTTAAAATATTTAAATAGTAATTCAAATACTTTCACAGAAACTTGTAATCATATCTTATAATTATAATTAGAATGGAAATAAATTTATCATGTGAAATCAGCTGTGATCATCCTTTGTTAGGTCATTTGCAAGAAATTTCAAATTCCTTGTGGAGTGGAACATGATCTAATTAATGCAACTCTGAACATTACCATGGAGCAACCGGTGTTTGCAAATGAAACAAATGTTAATGCAACCTATGATTCCTGTGTACCAAAATATTTTATCTTCAACTCAAAGGTAATAATTAAACTAAGTAAGCATGATTGTGACTTCTGCAAAGTCTAACTAGTCCTGAAACTTCCTTGTCACCTCATAAAAACTGTTATAGCAATACTGAAATCAGTATCTTGTTTATTATCCTTGAATTAAATGGAAAATAACTATGGGTGAGGGAACAATTGCATCTTTACCCAGTGGTTTGACCAGACAGAATATTTAAAGAATAAACTAAACTATGGTATAACCAGGTATCACTTCATACAGCTGGAGTTTTCCTTATCTACCAATTCCATATATCACTCATTATTAAACTCTTTGGAATTAGTTTGCAAATATGGAAAAATGTTACATAAACAATATATTTTATTAGCCAATACTTTTGAATAAAAACCAACAAGAGCACTTTCATAGTCATTTAGTAAAACCTTTAAAATTCTACCTCATTGCTAAATAATTGCATGCTGTGCAAAAAATGCAGTACCATCTCTACAATTATATGTTTTAAAAAATTGAATAGAGTGATTGATAATCTGCTTGGTGACTTAAATAAAAGTGGATTGTAAACAACTGTGCACAACTGTGTACTAACAAATACTTTTCTAGTATTTAATATATTTGAGTAGGATTAGAAGTTCCAATTGCCTTCAGGCTATTTACTTTTCTTCCACCTAATTTATTTCACATGGGAAAGTTTATAAATAGGAAGGGCAATTATAGATAATAGTTTGAATTGTTCATAGAAACAGAGGAATATGAATGAAAAAAATGCAAAATATGCTATTTAGAATTATAGCTTTAGTTTTTCAAGAAACTGCCTGAGTATCTTTTAAGTTAATATAGAAATAGTCATACACCCATTTTTATGTTTTCCAGACTGTCTATGCTGTACCAATCCTGACATTTTCTTTTGTCTGTCATCCTGCTATTCTCCCTATTTATGAAGAACTGAAAGGGTATGTCATGCGCATTAACATGTTTTGTGTTTTTAAAGAAGTGTATATAAATATGGAATGATGTATTTCATAAATATTCATAGCAATTTATTTGTTTCTTTATAATAGCCGAACCCGCAGAAGAATGATGAAAGTATCCAATGTTTCATTTTTTGCTATGTTCCTCATGTACCTCTTGGCTGCTCTCTTTGGATACTTGACATTTTATGGTAAAAAAGTAACTCTTCTATTTAAGTTTTGCATATTAATTTTGATATATCTTTGAGGTGTGAACAAGTCAGCCAGTGTAAAGCAAGCTCACACTGTTTTGTCTTTATGTAAACATGCTCCATTGTAGCATTTGTATGTTCTAATTAAGAAGGCAATCTCAACTTAAAGCAATAGCTTATACAAGCTTCCTTCCTTCTGCAGAAAAATAAGTTCCACAAATAAGAATTGGTCATTCATTTTTGAATTAATTGGGTCTATGGACTTCTGAGCTCCATTATTAATAAGAAGCAAGACCTAGTAGACTGATAAAAAATATTTCCTGTAGAGCTTTCATGAGAAAGGCTCTTCAATTTTTAAGAACAGCAAACCCATCAGTCATTTTGAGACCATGTTATGGTTACACACAAATTAAAAATGGCTGTCAGGGAGGTTAGGACCAATCAATTTTTGTGAATTTTTTGTTAATGTTATACTGAATTGCACTTATGTTCTGCCTGATTGACATCTGTGGAAGGAAGACAAAGAAAGTCCACTACCCACTGGCTGGCTGCAGGTTGGAGACTCACTTCCTGGTTCTATGTCAGTTGACATTCCATTCTACTCAAAACTGTTACAAGGAGGAAGAGTTAGGAAGTTTGAATCATATCATAGATTGTCAGTAATTTTCATTCAGGTAACAGCTGTATAATTTAATCGCTCCTTGTTTATTGAAGGGTATATCACTGCTTGTAGCTTTAGTTTTACAAGCTTTGTAGCTTTAGCAATACACAATGTGATGTGCAATAACAATAGAAATACAATAATGGTATTAGATGGGGACACTGACAAGCGGTCAAGTATTAGATTGAAATAAAAGCTTCTGGAATTCTGCCACTCAGAACGCTCTTTAACTTTAAAAGCTGACTGTAGCTACCACATTGCAATGCATTCTATATTACAATGCTGTATACTCACACAATTCCATTTGCAAATCAATTATAAACTTTTTAAAAATATGCACAGGAATCTTGTTTATTATATTATGTGAATATTAAAGTTAATAAATATTCTGCATGTCCCTTTCCAGGAAAGGTGGAAGCCGAATTGCTTCATACTTATTCAACAGTGTTTCAGACTGATAATCTCCTTCTGATTGTGCGCTTAGCAGTCCTGATGGCAGTCATTCTTACCGTTCCAGTTGTGATTTTTCCAGTGAGTAACTTTATTTAATGAAGAGAGTGTAGTGTTAATTTATGTTGAAATTTGGAAATCAAGTATTTATGGAGCTTGCATTTATTTCCAATTATCAGTTTCATTTTTTAAATCTGTCATGTCTCTGTGTTCAGTTTGCTTTCCTTTTTTCATCATTGTATAATTAGAATAGTTAAAAGGCAATATAAATTCTATATTCTAAAAGAATATTTAAAATTTATTTAAATATTTAAAACATTTTTGGGAGGGGATAAATTTTAATGTGACTTTAATAACATTAAGTAATTCAATTAATGTTTATTTTACAGATTCGTAGTTCCATCACACAATTGCTGTGTGCAGGCAAAGAATTTAGTTGGGTTCGTCATTGTATTATTACAGGAGCTATTTTGGTATGCACCAACGTTCTCGTCATTTTTGTTCCCACAATTCGAGACATATTTGGATTCATTGGTGAGGATTGTTTGTTACTTGTTCGAAATACCTATTGTTCTAAAAATGTCTATATAGTGTAATAAAAAATAAGTGGTCTAATTAAACTTTATGGTTCATTCAGGTGCCTCCGCTGCTGCCATGCTAATCTTTATACTTCCATCAGCTTTCTACATTAAGCTTGTGAAAAAAGAATCCATGCAATCCGTGCAAAAAATTGGGGTAGGTACTTATCATTGTGTTTACCAATAAAAGGGAATGTTTCTTGATATCCATATAATTATTAACTTCATTCTTGCACAGTGTTTGACTATAAAGCTTACTTAATTGCCATGAATGTCTGCATTAACTGTGCTTAGACCTTTTCATTAACTCATCCCCCTCTTTTTTCTTTAAATGTTCATTATTTCTTTTATTTTACTTTTGCATTCCTGTAGGCCACTAAAAATCATTTTGGAAATTAAGTGGCGTAACATAAACACCCATATATAAAAGTCTAGCATATTTGTCTGAATTTTCTTAGCCTTCCCAAAAAATGAAGGCAGAATGTGTTCAATGATGCAAGTCTGAAAATTGCCCCCCAAAATTTATGTATAATAGACTGTTTCTTTCATGCCCTTGTTTCTGACAAAATAAATTCAGTATTTTCATATGTTACTTATTTAGGCTCTCCTGTTCCTGCTAAGTGGCACAATTGTGATGATTGGAAGTATGACCTTAATTGTTATGGATTGGATCAACAATTAACCTACCTGCTTTATTCATTCGTCTTCATTCTGCCATCTTCTGGGAGGAAAAACCTTCTGCCTATGTTTGCAGCTCTGCTTCCTTTGATGCTAGTACTTCTAATGATAGAACAGATGGATTTTAAAGAAAGAAAAACAAAAGAAACTATTCTGCACAAGAATAGATACTAATATCAAGTCAGCTGAATCTTTGGCTGAGTGAAGTGACTTTTTTTTTTTATTCCATTCCAGGGAATGGACGGCTCTCTCTGTAAAAATTTATCAAGCCATGTTGGGCTTTGGACATTGTTACTTGGATTCTTTATTTACTTGAATGTGCCTAATGGAAACAATTGGTGTGAGAAGTAAATTAGTTTACAGCAAGTTGTAAGCTAGCCATTAAAAGGAAGGGAAAAAACAGTTATTTTTATACCAAATAACTATGGACTCAAAAGCACTATTTTGACTTTTAAGAAAACATTTTATAAGTTAAAGATTCAAATAAGGGTAAGAAAAAAATCAGTAGGCTGTTTAATCAGTATCCTCAGTTCAAAATGTTTGCCTGTCTACAGAGACATGTTCTTAAAATTATATTTTTCACCTCAATAAGCTTATTTTTTAAATCTGTTATAACTAATGTTTAATTGACTATCTTGAAAGAATAGAACTAAAATTAAATTCCATTTGTAATTTTAGTTATTCTAACACTAAAACCAAACAAAGATTTGTATAGTATATTGAGGTACTCAGTAGTGCAATTAAGAAGATAAAAACTTTTTATTCTTTTTTTTTAATTTGGTCTCACCAAAGCACAATAAATTGTTAGATAATGTGATGTTCCTAGCAAAATAATCTGGCTTTTTAGTATTTAAAACAAAAATATTGAGGTCATGCTATAGTTTACTGGAGGAAAAGTATACTTTTCAGATGCATGTTTTCATTATTAATATTTTATATTATGTTACATAATTGCACCAGAATTTGGTGCATGTGACAAAATTCTTTTCATAAAATAACTGGATTTCTTAATGCAGTTTTCTAAACTGTCGTGTGTGTGTGTGTGTGTGTGTACACACGCACATACACACTTGTTACTAAATGAATGGATTTCAGTATTATTGGAACAGTGGGGTAACAACCATAGGTCATGTACAGTGGATATCCAGAACATGATCCTGCCCTGACTGGACAACAACATTCAAAGAACATATGAACTTGGTATACATACCTCACTCCTATCTGTCTCCCATTCATCATTTTGCCCAGAAACTCAAGAAGAGCTGAATGTTGATACAGGGAATTCATACATACTTCCCATTTCTATTATTAATTTAAAGAGATATTTAATGAATTTCCATGTGGGATAGAGGATAAAATCTTCTCGATTATGCTTTGCAGTAATAAATCTGTGTTGCAAATGCTGCATTTGCCAGAGAAAGCATATTCCAGTTTGGCTACTACACATATTAATTATACTATTTCAACCCCAAGATGTAAAGAAATTTAGGACACTTTTTTCATTTCACAAAAATTGCTGAACAGATTTTCTGCCAGAATCTAAAAAGACAGAATTTAACTAGGTAACGTTCAGAGGATTATTTTCATCTGGCATAACAAAAAAGGCATGTAATTAACCGGAACATTTTTTTAAGTGTAGGTTCATTTTAAAAAATATATACAGCAAATATTTCCCATTGCATTCTGATTCTTAGCCTAATAATGTTTCATTAGGGTGCTTTTAATTTTTCCCCTTATTGTCCTAGAAAGGCTAGAATTCAAGCCATGGTTCTAGGTAGAACAATATAATCTGTACTTGAATAATAGTTGTGATGATCTCTTTTATTCCTAAAATATTAGTAACCAATACTAGTACTGTTAAAAACATAAAACTTACTTTTTTATCTAGATCACAGGTATCAAACTCACTGTGTCACGTGATGTGTTGCAACAGATCACGATTTTTTTCGCATTGCTGGAGCTGCAGTGGATGCGCCTCCAGATGATGCAACCGGCCCGTGGGCTGGCAGTTTGACACCCCTGATCTAGATTGTCTAAAAAAACATTTTAGAATTTCAAAGATAATTTTGTAAGCATTTGGCTACTGTAATATAAGATCTCATTGTTGAATGTTTATATCTCAGAACTACCATTGGCATTACTGGGTGGATACAACATACTTATGTAGCAGATATAAATAACATAATATTTTCTTATATTTTGTACTAGTCTATGGTATTTTGTGCAAGAGCTTAAATACTCCAGAAAGTATATCGAATAATTTAAAACAATTTTCTTTTCTTTCAGCAACTAGTGTTGCCCAGTGTCTTTAACCAATCTAGGGAGTTAAAGATCAAAAATCATTCTTTTCCAACAATAAAAAAAATTGTTATACCCTAATTGTTCATCTAAAAGCCAGAAAAGTGACAAAAGTGGGGAAAATACACTTATGCATCTGCAAAAATGATACTGAATTATTGCTGAATCAGCAATATCTGGGCAGTTCAAATTATGGATTGCACAGTTTTCTTTCATTTGCAAGATCAAATTTCTCTAACTACTCCTGAGTACCACTAAGATATCTTCTTTGCTAATATACAAATATGTGGTGCATAAACTTCACAGGAGCTAGTAGTTTCAGCATTTAACCACTATTTGTCACCTCATTTTAAAATTATTGTCTTCCATGTTATTTTACTCACATTATGTAACATGTTATTTATGGAATAGTAACTTGTTGAAGTTAAAACCTATTTTTCAATATTTATGGGTAACCTCTGTATATAAATTACTATACTCTATGTTTGTGTATGTGTACGTATGTATGTGTATATATATGTGTGTGTGTGTGTATGTATATGTATGTGTGTGTGTATATATATATATATATATGTGTGTATATATATATATATATATGTATATATATACTGTAAGTATATTGTATATAAGGTAAGGTTTGATTATGTATATAAGTTTATGTTAATAATTAGCACATTAAATCCATAATTCCTTCATGTTGTATATCCAAGAAATGGTCACAGGCAAATCTCTGGAGAAATTGTATGCCAGTGATCAATTATTTTTGCATTTGCTATACAAGGGCAAATATTTTTTAAAAAATCTAAAAGTATACCCAAAATGTATTAGTTCAATTCTATATTTTCCTTTGAACTGTACAACCCATTCTATACTGCAAACTAATATGAAATTCCTTTAGCTTCCAGAGCAGTTTGTGATGTGAGAAAAATAGGAGCTACTATTTGACAGCAAAAAATACCCCTTTTTTTATTCAGAAAATTAGTTTCCTAATTATCTGGAATCTGGGCCATTATTGGAAAGTGAGAAAACTAATTTTACAATGTACAATTTGCATTGATGTTTTCAATGACTTTTCATACATATCATGTATATATAGATAAAGAGATACATGCTGTATTGTTAGATCAACAATTTAAATACAGTTATTGAAAAGAGTGCTACACTGTTTCAATGAAACACTGTAAGTTTTAGCTAAATAAAGATCAAAACTTAAGAATGTGCAAGAATGAAATTTATTCTCTATTATATGATATAAATATTTGTTCATGTTGTGCTTTACAGGTAAATCAATTTTAGGCAATTGATAAAAGTTGCAGTTACCTTTGAATCCAAACTATAAGATATGTTTACAGTTCATATTAAGCCATGATTTGTATTAATAAAATTTACTGAACATGCAATGATACCTAATTCCACATATTATAAGCCAAAACCAAATAAATACAAACTATGCATAATATCATAATAAGATGCAGCATTTACAGAAGTGCATTGCACAGTTCTTGGTATATAAACATTTATGTATAAAACTCTAATATTGGACACATTTCATCACTTGGAATTTGAAACAAACATCTAGTGATAAATATTAATATGGGCATGTTACTAAAAGTGATGTGGAAACATTTTCAAGAAGGTAGTCAATGATTTACTTTTTATTGTTGAATGTATAACCTGCCTCTGTGTTTACTTCATCATTCAAGACAATTAAAAATGCAAACTATAAACTGAACAAAATTAATAAAATTAAAACTAATAATTACAATCACTAATAAAAGGTTCACAAAAGAAGATTTTTACCATCTTCCTAAATATTGGGAATGGGAACCAAATTCTTTGAATGATGCAGTCTATTCCCTGGAAAAATACTTACCCTGTATGTTGAAGTGCTGGTAGTTGGGGCATATTTAGAATGGTCTCAGTGATCTAATTAACCAGGCAGGTTCATAGCAGCAGGAGCAATTCACAAATAATAGGCTTTAAACCATTTAAATTGTGCCTATTAAGCAATTAATCGGCAAGACAAATTTTTAAGGAATTTTCCATAAGATTCCTGTGGATTGCATTGATTAGTAATATAATCATCTCATCGCAAAATACATTTCAAATATTTTTTAAGAATAAACCCATCTAATACACATTGCAATGCTATAAACAGGGCACAATTTTCCCTAGAACTAATTTTTTCAGGAAGGATCAGAATTGGTCAACTAGTCATAATTATGCAAATTTGTTTCTTGCATCTGTCACCAAATAAATCCCAATGTCTGCTGCAGACAAGGGACCCTCACAAACTGCAAATTGCTCTCTCTCTCTGGGAATGCAATTATACCCATAACAAGTTTCAGCTCAATACCTCAATTAATTTTTTCTTTCTGTGTTGTCTGGATTTTAATTTCAGCTTGATCCAATCCACTACCAAGATTAGCAATGCTCACGTTTGCCGTATTACCTTCTATGACCTACCCACACTGGCATACAAAACAAGTCAAAGTTTGGGTGACTTTGTCTGCAAAGAATTATGACAATTGCTGGCAGCATACCCCTGGCTATTACGATTATCCACCCCAAATATTTTTATGAAGGGTATGCCCCACAGCACAGAAAAGCATTATCAGCCTATTCTGTGTAAACACAAATGAGTGTGACTAGTGCTTTTCATCATTCCTGTTACTAGAGTTGATTTTTTTTCTGATTTTTTAAGAAAGCTTCTCTGTTTTGAGATTCAACCTAGTTGATGCATTACTCTCAGCTCCTTAATTTTTAAAAAGGTCTCATTGGCTCTGCTAGAGGAGAAACATTGCTTAGCCAGAATAGTGAACATTATCTGGACACTCTCCCTATTCCACAGATCACACAAGGCTTCAATAGTATCATTAACAAATGAGATGTGAAATTTTCTATGGACAATTTAAAAAAATCATCTGAATCTTTCAGACTTGGTTTAGAACATTTTAACTGATCCTCAATTCTTCCAGCGACTGATAGCAGTTTCCAGTCTAAATTGGCCAGAGAGTGATCTTTATGACAATAGAGCTACAAAAAATATTCAGAATATTATAGTGAACATCAAATCCTGAGCCACCCGAGGCCTGGGCTAGCATGGTGCCATGTTATATACCAGGATTTCTCAAGCTCGTAAGCTTTAAGTTGTATAGACTTCAACTCCCAGAATTCCACAGCCAGCACACTGGCTGGGGAATTGTGGGAGTTGAAGTCACTACATCTTAAAGTTCTCAAGCTTCAGAAATACTGGGTATTCAAGATCAAAAAGAGACAGACGATAGCCCCTCATATGCTGGTACCCAATGTCAGTGAAATGTGTGAATAAAGATGTCTTCAATGACACTTTGACTAAAATAAATTTGTAATTCATTCCCTATTCTGTCACATGGGAAACTTTCAAGTAAAAATAAATGGGGCTTAGTTTTAAGCTTAATAAACCATTATGACAGGGGTATCAAACTGCCAGCCCTTGGGCCAGTTGCATCATGCAGAGGCTGTGCTCACCCCAGCTCCGGCAATGCAAAAAAAGTCACAATGCATCACAACACATCACGTGACACGGCGAGTTTGACACCGATGCTCTATGACATTTCTAAGAAATAGTCATTCTTGTTTATAACAGAACTGCAAGAAGGAAGTGCAGAGGAAATGTTGCTCAATATTCCTTTCTAACTGGTATTTCTTTTTTTTATTGAAAAGTTTTATACAAGTTTTTAACAATATCCCCCCCTAAAATAACCCCCTCCCTCCCTACCCCCCTCACTTCCCAGAGCTGGTTACAGGTTACAAATAAACAAGCAAATTCTAAATAAACTTATCCAACTGTACAAATAACAAAATCAATAATGTGCTTTAACTCGAATACAAAACAAATTTAAGCAAATTAAAAAAAACAAAAAAATAACAATATAAGCAATTCCGAATTAAAAACTAAAAATTATTCATAATCTAAATAATACTTTTTAATCCCATATCAACTCTATTTACTCTACATGTAATTTATCCATCTTCTCCATGCTGAGGTATATATTTCTTTTAAACAACCATTCATCCATAATAAACACAAAATTTTCCTTCCAATATAACCCAACCAACAAACTTACATTCAATAAACTTGGCTATTTGCTTTTTTCCCCACCCCTAAGTAAATCTATTAATACCCTCCTACTTAAAAAGTTTCAACAAACCATTCATCTTAATCGCTAAAATTCTCACCAACAGAGATCATTAGAATTTAAATTCTTTTACACATTTACCCATAATATCTCATAATTATTTTTATACACTTTAAATTAAAAATTTTACAATATATATACTCCCAAATATTTAAACTTTTCCCCTAAATCGTCACCTTCTATTATTCTTTTTCTTTACATCTACATACTACACAAATAATTCACTATTCTTTTAAAACATACTAAATCAAACTACCAGCTAAACTAACATTTATTGTTCTTTTTCTTTACATCTACATATTACACAAATAATTCACTATTCCTTTAAAACATCTTCTATCTCAAAAAACTACAAAAGTTCATCATTTCCTTTTCTTTATTCCAACATCCGCCTTCTGCTGTTCTTTTACTTTACGTCTATAGGCTGCACGAGTCATTCTCGGTTTCTTTAAAAAATCTTCTATCACAAGAGACTGCTGCAGAGGTTCAACCTGTATGTCTCCTACATCCAATAACATATCACCTTCAACTGACTGCCCTTCCAACTTTTCTTCTGTAATCTCAGGTCGTAAAGATGATGGAGAGCCCGCCTTCAAAACAGAAGTGTAAAAATCTTTCGCTTTTGAAATTGTATTCAGTTTATGATATATCCCCACATAATTCACTGCTATTCCGGCCGGTATCTCCCATCTGAACCGGACCTGTCATTTTTTGAGCTCATCAGCCAAAAAAGCAAAATCCTTTCTTTTTCTAAGAATTTTTGAAGGTATTTCTTTTAAAATTATAACATCTTGAGTTGCAATTTGAAATCTCTGCTTATAAAAAGCCTGTAAAATTTCATTACGAAGTGATCTCCTAGAAAAATAAATAACCATGTCTCGTGGCAAATTCCTCTGCCTCACAACCCTTGAATTAACCCTAAAAACTTTTTCCGTCTCTCTCAGTATTTCTTCAGGCTCAGCCCCCAAAATGAAAGCTATATCTTTTACCACCACTTGTCTCAAATCCTCTTGTGTGTTTTCCTTCATTCCACTTATTCTTAAAGCAAATAGCATGTCTCTATATTGTAACATAATTTCATCCTGTATTATTTCCGCCTTATTTTCTACTTTATCAATTCGATCTTCCAGTTTTTCAAAATTTTCCACAACATCATCAATACGATCATCCAGACGATCTATATGACCAACAAACTTTTGAAACACAGATGCAATGTCCTCTCTCAGTTCCCTATTTTTATTTTCAAGAAATTCCTCCATCTCTTCTTTAATCTGTCTTGCCTTATTTCCCAAGGCATCCTATAAATCTTTAAGTATATATGCTGGTAACGATGGAGAAGGTGGTGGTAACTTAAACTTAACTTGCTGAGCTGTCTGCATTACTGGGAAGATCAAGGCTTTAGAAACAATAGAAGCTCCGAGATGCTTTGAAGCCATTTTATTTTTAAGACCACTTGTTAAAAAGTCTGCTAAAATCTTATAAAATCAACAAATACCAAAAAAGGGGGGAGGAAAAAAGCCAAAAGCCCCCTTAAAAGAAAAAAAAAAGATTCTTGCATTTTATATAAATACAAAATCTGTTATATTGTTTCAAATAGAAGTTCCGGTCCTTTCACTCAAAGAATCAACATCTCAGCGCCATTTTTCAACACTCTTAATTGAAAAAAAAGGAAAAGATAAATTCTTTTCCAGAGTTAAAGTCTCGAAATAATCACTATTTTAATCTCTCCTGGTCAGCTCTGTCTGCTTTAAATTTTACTCACAAATTCATTTTAAGCGCAGATGTGGAAGCAGCATCTAGCTTTGCCCTGGATAAAAATCAGGGCAAAGGCATCCTGGAATGTGGAGGACACCTCAGACTCCGTGGGAGCTCTCACCCTCCGACCACCAAAAAGAAAGCTTTGGGGTCTCGGGGAGCTCTACCATTATCTGAGGAAAGCTCACCTCCTCCCCTTCGCCTGGGGAGAGAGGTTCCAAGCCACGAGACAGCTGCTGCTTGCTGTCTCAGCTGGCTTTGACACATCCCAGGGTGGACAGCTGAAAAAAGCCTCCATTGGCGCGGCCTACGCCACCGGAAGTCCTAACTGGTATTTCTGAATTGTTAGTAAACACTCTTGACCTTTTCAGCTAACTGATGAATACGTGTACTAAATTTTTATAGGGCTAAAAACCCCATTGAATAACAATAACAACAATAATAATAGTTGGAAGGGACCTTGG